TTACAAGGAATTTTCTATTTTATCCTTCCTTCCTTCCATCCATTCATCTACCTTTTCCTTTCATTCTTTCCTATTTCAGCTTTCTCCCAAGAAAACATGGGAAGGTTTCATTGGAGGAGGGTTTGCTACTGTAATATTTGGCTGGTTGGTAAGTTTCTGTTTGTCATAGCCTACTCAACAGGCATCACAGAGAATCATGGGCTTCCTGTCACTAGTCCCTAGCGGCCAAGATGATCATTACAAAGGAAGCCCAAAGGAGGAAAAAGAGTCGACTGGGGAGGAGGCTATGTTTGTCATAAGAAAGAAGCAATGCAGTAGTTTTTCTTGCAGAGTTTCTTTGATAAAATGCAATGCAAGATTGAATAGGTCTTTTTGTTTCCACTAAGGGCAAATAATTTACAGTCAACACTATTTTATTTTAATTATGACTTACTGGATATTGTATTTTTTATTGGTAGGCTTGTTATTTCATGTCTCAATACCAGTATTTTGTGTGCCCAGTAGAGGTAAGTTATCCCTGTTTTTGTCTTTGTAGTATTTTATGCTATAAACACTTTTTATGCTAATTTTATACTTTTTTATGCTAATTTTATGCTATGTTTTTCAGTAYGCCAAGGGCTCTCCTTTCTTGTTTACAATGAGATGYSAACCCCCTCCCCTGTATGTCCAAACTGCCTACAATATACCTGCACCTTTCAAGTATCTTTTGAATTTGGTGAGTGAATTTTGTCTTGAATTACATGTACCTACACAGAACTTGWYACCTAATCACCTCTCAATCTTGTTTTTTATAGGGTGGATCTCAAAACAGTGTTATCTGGATGTACCCAATGCAGCTTCACTCTATTTCATTAGCTCTTTTTAGTTCTATTATCGCTCCCTTTGGTGGGTTCTTTGCCAGTGGTTTTAAGAGAGCCTTCAAAGTCAAGGTATGTCATGAAAGTTTGATTGGGTTCCCTGTGTCTCCATGTACACAGGGAGCCCAAGTAAGGAAGTTGCTGCAACTGAGATTTCCATTATATTTTGTAGGACTTTGGTGACACTATTCCTGGTCATGGAGGTATCATGGATAGGTTTGATTGTCAGTTCATMATGGCTACATTTGTGCATGTCTACCATTTTACGTTTATCAGGTAAATAATATTGATTGGACCTTCAAGGGTTTTTCTGATCTCCCCTGTSATTTTCCCTCCTTWTTGTCTCGATGTAGTTGTACAAAAATAGCTTGAAAACAATTATGTATCTCTACAATGGTGAATCTCACTTTCAGAGCACCACAACCACAAAAGATCCTTCAGCAAATCCTGTCCCTCAAACCAGAGCAACAAGTCGTAGTATACAAGAAGCTCAAAGATGCTCTAATGGGAAGAGGTCTTATCTAGATTGCCTGAAGATTAAAGATCTTAAAACTTATCTGTATCTGGAACCAAGATACTTAATGAAAACTATGATTACTGGTCCGAGATAACAAAATCATACTGGGGCAGGTTGTACTWAAGGTTGTCATGTTATCCACCATTRTYCATTCCATAAATTTGCTGTTGATTTTATCATATAGGATTTGGGTTTATACAGTGGATATAGCAGGACTTGCCCTTCATACAACCTGTCCCAAAACAATAACTTAAGGAATATAAATAATCAAGAAAGGGGATATATATCAGTGAGGAATGATACTGTATCTATATTGTACAATATCAAATCATAACTTATAAGTATTTAATTCTCCTCAGGTAGAAGGTATTAATGTTAGTTATTTTGTTAAGTCAGGTATTGTCCACCCAAGATGATTTAGACAAGTTTATTTGCCACTGCTGAATTTCAAACCGAGTGGGGACTGGGCAAAATTCTCAAATTGGATGATTTCAAGTACTTTTACAGTATATTTATTTCATTTGAGACAAGTTAGGTTATGTATAATTTTAGTGTAAATTGGTTTTACTTTTAACRGTAATTTTAGGACAATAAAATTCAAATTTAATCYCTGAAAGYGAATGTCATTTWATATTATATTTCTCCAGTTGGGTCTGAAGAGTTGGGATTTTGYCTTCACTAATAAGTCACTACAACCAAGTAAAAAACTTCTCCTGCTTTAATCATCTTTCCACCAATTTAACATTGTTATGTATTTACAAGCAATGTGTGACATACTGGATGAATAAACATTAATGTGCATCCATATACTTTAAAGTTTTAAATACAAATCTTGGTACATCTACTCGTCAGCTGCCATCTCCTCTTCATCAACCTTTGGTGCAAGGTAATATCTGCAAATAAATAAAATAACTTGATGTAAACATCCAACTTGTCACTAAACATTGTACTTTTTATAAAAACTTACTTGATTTCACCAACATCTTCAAATGAGTATTCAACAACTATAAAAAAATCATGTTYTATTGTTAGTTTGTAATCTTGTTGATTAACTGATATGTATTGTATAATAGCATTTCTGTATTGCTATCTTTCCAGAGGTAGGTTAAAATAACAGAAAAAACACTAAACGAGCTCTGTAAACAAACACTGTAGATTGATCTAGAGATTAAAAACTTAAATTGATAATACAAAGTTGTTTTATCAACCAAATACTAAAAAACTTAGGTGGAACATAGATTTGGACAAGGGACTTCTAAGGTCTTTCTTTATACATTAACTGAAGACAAAAACTCACCAAGAGGAATGTCTTTTTTCAGTGATAAAGAAACGCTGCTTGATAGTGGTGTGGCCTGAATTAGAAAAMCAAGCAATTARAATACAAAAATTAACCRRTATAAATATGGAATGTTTGTTTGTGACTTACCTTGGTGAACTGACCCAGGTATCGAAGGGCAAATGTCAGACTGACTGGCTCCTGGAGATCAATAGAGACCTGAAAGAAAAATGTGTTTYTATATTTCTGCATGCTTTATTCATTATACAGYCTGCTATCTCCATGGACAATGGTTTACTGTGCRGTYGATACTCRTATCAACAAGTGTAGAAATAAATTACCTGTTCACCGCTTTTATCAACGCTTGCATTCTGTCGTAATAAGATTTTTCCACTRCCATTGTCTCCAGTAACAGAGAAGCTGACGCCATCTTTTGTGCAAGCAATAATTACTGAATCACCCATTTGAGATAAATCTCTGATAATTCGCTGAAATTCATGCGAAGGCATTTTGACCAGAGCGTCATACTTTTGTTCCTATAAAAATTGGACAGTGTGAAGTATAACAGCAATAGCAATAAAAATATCTACACTTATACATGAAAAAAACTACCTYAATTAAGTATTATGTAAACTTACAGGAATTCCCAGGTTATCTTGGTCAATATCCATCATTTTTGTTGTGTAAGTTGATGTTTTTTCTCCATCTGCAATAAAATAGCCAAAAATAAATAACAAGTCCATATTATAGTGCCTTGACAGTTACAATAGAATCACTATATCTAGTGCTTACTTGGACTTTCAAATAGGAAAGTGACAGCATCTCCATTATCTTCAGCTGAAATTGTTATTGTATCATCATTTCCTGCACATTTGACAATTTTCGATACCATAGTAGTTTCTAATCCAAGTGTGATGTTGCGGTCGCATCTGTAGGGTTCAAAKGCATCTCTCTTGAGATCTAATGACACAAGACAAACGTGACTACTGTCCATTGCTTGCAGTGCCATGCCRTTATCAGAACATTCCCAATTGCCAGAACCGACRATGTCTTTAATGGCTTCAATGATTTTCTTSAGGAGACTTCCTTGAGTTAGTTTTCCCTCAAACATTTTGAATTAAAAGCAGGAGAATTTTTCAAACAATTCTGAAACGAGAGAAAATATTTAAAATCCAATAATTAAGAAATGAAGAGAATATTCTTGTTATAACTGGGAAAATAAGTCTACACTTTGGAGCATACATGGTTTCTTCAATAGAAATTTATAATAAACTTATGGCAAATKGTATACAAAGTTATTTACAATCGAGACAGTCATTGCACACTTTGGTATAAATGTCCATTCATCAAAATTTTGAACAATTCTTGATCGATCTAGTGATTAGATACATTCCAATTCGTACAAAATTCGAAAGAAAATGCTAAATTTAGCTGTGGATATCAGAAATCGTATTTTTTTTATTGAGTAAATTGCTAAAATAACGACAATTTTCGATGCAGAAGATCGAAATTGATCGAGCTTTCAAGAAATGGCGGGAAGTTGGCTCAAATTTCGCGCGTAATTTTACATTGTACAAAAATCACTCGAAATCTGAAGATTATTCGATGTATGTTCATGATCTTAAAGCTATAGCTGAAATTTAAGCTATATTAATCGAATTCCTGACGGAATTTTGCTGGGAAAACGAAAATATTTGGAGAAATGATCGATATGTCACTTCGGGAAGCGAATCGACACAAACATGACGAAGGGATCAAATTGTACAAAATACTCTTCAAAAGACATATGGATACTCGATCAGAATGGCTCATCAATAGCTTCCACGTATATCTGTTCATAAAACCAAGTTTAAAATTTTAAATAAGCGAGATCTGAGGTGATTTTTCGATTCCCAATGAACTGAATATTCAATTGTAAACACCTCTGAAGATGTCGAAAATTTCAAGTTTTATCTCAAATTTTGGAAAAACCACTAGCACAATAACAGCGATGACACAACAATGAAAACTTAGCAACACTAATGGAGATAAAATTGTGTATTTTAAGGACAGGATGGCTTTAGATGAAGAAGGATTGTATTCACCTACCTTCGTTCGTCGAGCAGAAATTCGAAATAATCTACGCGCCAAATTTTTGACCACATAAAAACCCCGCGAACTTCAAAATACTGCTCTACCATTGGTTCATCTAGTCACATGGTTTGTCACATGAGTTTTCAGCGGGAAAGCATTCCCCAAAAGCATTGTGGGAGCACAGSAACCCCACAGAAAATGATTATAAAAAGTTTTATAAAGACGAGGATTTGGAGATCTAAACTTTTAAAAACTGTGTCAAGATTGTAATTTAAGTCCGTTTATAATTGATAAAATACTTGAAGA